GGCTACAGGAATAGATTGCTGTTCCCAGTCTGCGGCAGCAGTTCTCAGTGGAGGATGCAGACCTCACTGGGATCCCAAGTAAACACCCACACTTATGGCTGTGTGACAGAGCCAACTGGGCCATCCCCTGCATGTATAGGAGCTGTATCCAGGGCTCCACAAATAAGTAAATGCTGGCAGGTTTTCTCCTGGCAGTTAACTGCAGCTTGGATTGTGTTGTCTCTTTCCCAGGTGCTGTCTAGTTGTGAAGAATTATTCTCTTTTCCTTTCTCAAGCTATGTCCCAAATTTCCCAAATGGATCACTTGTCATTCCCTGCAAGGCAGAGAACTGAACATCTGCATGTGAGCGCATGTTATTCTAAACCCCATATCCAGAGGCAGCTCCCAGGCAAAGGCATCATCATTACTAGCATCACCCAGGTGGCATCAAGCCTGAAGAACTATGGGCTTGATTGAATGTGCTTGGAGTGCAGCATCCTTGCAAGTCACCAGTTCTTTTCTTAAGTATTGGATCAAAATCCTGACAAAACAATTCCCAAAATGAGAGTTGGTAAGTGCATGCCTAAGTCCTGGGCATGACTGTAGACTGCATCCAACGGGAGGGCCTCGTGGCAATGTGGTGGGACTACTTGTGGTGGGGTAGCTCCTTTAAAATACCACCAAGTTGCAACTTCCAGAGTAAGGTGAGTATAAGGTGCCTCAAAACCCTAGCCCCCACTGCCCTGTGGGTACTTCTTAGTTCAGGAAGGCAAAGAGACATCACCCTGACAGAAACACGCCCTTGCTGAGGCGTTAGGCAATCTGCAGCAGTTCTTATCAGTTATTTTTCTGGCAGAAGCTACAACCATCGAGGCACTGAACATCTGGACTTGGTCTGGCCTTTATATTCTGTCTCAGTGGTCCAAAGGGGGTGGCAGGTCTTGGGCAGCCTCCACTCCTCCATACTGTTGCCTAGGCATGTGCGCCAAAGGTCTTGGTGTGATGGTTGTAGCCTCTTATGTGTACACCATGATCCAGAAGATTGATGGTTGCCTATTATGTGCATACCTATGTATCTGCATATGCGTACTCTTGATTTCACTTGAATTTGGGTGCGTCTGGTCATTTGTATAGAAAAGAGAAGCGGCTTAGTCAGCATACCATACCAAACGCCAGGATCCTTTTACTTGGAGTGTGTACGGGCCCTAGCACAAAGGGGTTTGTTACTACAACAGAAATAGCCAAGTTATGTTTCTTCTCTCTCTCTCTCTCTCTCTCTGAGTCTCTCCAGCCATTCAATGAAAAATGTTTTATCTAATTTTTTCATGCCTCTTACAGCATGACAATATGGCAAGTCACGTAAGATCCAGTATCTAAAGCAAAGCTTACTTACCTCACAGGGAGGCTGCAGGAATTACGACGTGTTTGCAAACTGCTCTTTCATGCTCAGACAAAAGGTGCTATGGGAAGTGCAAATTATCCTCACCTGCCACAGCAGATTGAGGGGGAAACAGCAGCAGTGCTCTAATGACAAGAGTCACAGCCTGTGTCCTGCCGTGAGCATATGGAGATGGCTGTGGAGCACACTGAGCCAGATCCACTGCCATAAATCTGAGCATTCTGGCCTCTGTTCCAGTGACTTCATTATAGGCAGACAAGACAGAATTTGGCCTATCGGCAGGAGCACACAGGTTAAAGCCAAGCCAATAAACTCAGCAGCTGCTACAAATTCAAATGTCAATATCTCCCAAGAAACAGAGGCGTATCTACTAGGTTCCAAGGACCGTTACAATAGTATAACCCTGTCCTTTTACTATGGCAGAGCATAGAGCACAATTACTTATAAAAAAAAAACAGGCAGAACTCATTGTTTCTAAGCATTTTCTGCCAGCAGGCAGGGGATGTTCAGCCCTTTTGTGTGACCCAAGTCTTATTTAGTTTCATCTTCATAAAATCAGCATTGCTTGGCTTTACCAAACAACGTACAGCAGGACCTCTTCATCAGTCTGGGAAAGGCTATGGTATGAGTTGGGCAAGGAATGAAAAATAAAAATAATAGAAGGAAACCAGAGGTGTAATAAAGCAGCCGGGCACCTGCAGCAGCTGTGACATGCAGGGGCAGTGGCTACTTCCAGCTGCTGCTGTGCCATCAGTGCGATTGTGTACATAATGGTCTGGTTGGGACTCTACAATTAAGTCCCTGCTGTACTGAAAACCCCCTCTTAGGTACATGAGCTTCTTGCATTATAGTCTGGACCTTACCATTGCCTCCACATGGATCAGCATTTCTGGGTGCTCTGTGGGATGGGAACGCTATGTCTCTGAAGCATCAGTAGCTACTCTGTGCAGGATGCTAGACTTGATGGGCCAGTGGGCCAGTTTGTTGTTGCAAAGTTTAGAGCCAAAATTTTCAAAGGAGAGTGTTCATGGCGAGACACCAAAAACTGTCTTTAGGCACTTAAAAATCAGGCCATTTGTTCTGAGGGGCTGAGGGCTCACTGTCATTGCTCCCTCCAATGAAAGCTTTGGCCAAAGTTCCTGCAGTGTTGCTTTTATTGAACAATAAGCCCCCTCCCCATTTTAGGGAAGGAGGACCCCCCCCCACAAAAAGCAGCGGGTGCAAAGAGCAGATCCCTTACCTGCTGCCATCTGCATGTAACCAGCCAGGGTGCACACTCGTCTCTCGCACAGCCCGCTGGGAAGGAATACGGCAATGATTGCCAGCAGGGAGCTGATGGCTAGCAGGGCACAGCCTCCAGAACACAGCACCGCACTTGTCTGAAAAGACACATGTATACATCAGCATTAGCAAGGGTTAGCAATCAAGGGCACAGAAAGCCCCTGTATGCACCTTGTTCCCACCCATTCAGCCGCAAAAAGCTGGTGGGTTTTTGAGAGTGGTGGAAGCATATCACTGCCCCACCAGAAAAACGGTCAGAGCTGAGCTTGTCAGCAATCTGCAAGTTTTCTGTAAAGCTGTAACTCCTTGCTTTGCCTCTAGGCTCTGGAGGAAGACTGTGGTGAGCACAAAGGTACAGTTCACCCTGATGGCAACCCCCTCCCCACTGACCACCCCCTGGTATGTGGCACAGTGATGGGCTGCACAGCAGAGAAAGGGTTAACCTCCTGCTCCAGACCAACTACAGATGATTATAATCAGGTAGCAGGCGGGGCGGGCCTGGTGACTTATCCTGTTATCCAAGGAGCAAATAAAAGATGAGAACTATTTCTGCCTAGGAGAGAACTCAGGGGCTAGGACAGATCTATAGGATGGCTTGTCGTGATGGTCTGAGCAGGGCTCCCCTGCTCTCAGCAGTAGCAAGAAAATACCAGACCCTAAAGCCCTCATAACCAAGGGAGGAAGGGCTTATCTGGTTCAGGAGAGCTTTAAAAGAGCCAGGAGGAGCTGAGAGGGTTAGGCTAGAAGAACCTGAGCAGGGGAGAGGCTCACACAGTTGGGGAGAGGGACAGCGCAGAAGGGAGAAAGCATCTGGGGTCGAGGGCCGACATTAGGGAATGAATGTGGCCTTCTCTTCCCTTCCCTCCTCTTCCACCAGTGGGTTGAGAGGGAGAGGTGTGCCCCTGCACACTTCTGCCATGAAAGATCACATGCATACCATGTTCTGAGGCACAGAGGTAACAGGCCTGGTCAAGATGAGAAAAGAAGCCATTAGTTAATGCTGCCAGTCCCAAGAGAGGTTGCAGGGTCTGACACCTGTTTGGTCCTTCCCATGCCATCATGCAAGACTCCCAACACCAGCAGCTGCCTTGGAGTTTTAATCACCCTCCAAAGGTTTTCTCCCTGAGTCAGTAGCCCCAGCGATCACTAATAACATGAATTTTCTTTTAATCTGACATCTTGTCTTTGCTTCCCCAGTAGACCTTTTAACGCTTATTCTGCCTTGAAATTAGAAACAGTGCTCTGTTGTGCGACGGGAGGCTTCTCCCATTCCCTCCCTTTTGTGTTATGGTGCTTTAGTTCACTGTTAAATCTTTAGCCCATGGTTCACCTGTCACTCAGTCCCATGGGTTATTAGTATTCAGGCTATAGTGATAATAGCAAATGTATTACATGCATGAAGGGATTATGTAACTAATACAAGTGCCATTAGATGCCTCTGATGCGTTTCAGTGCCTCCACTGATAGATAAAATGTACCTAGTTACCGTATCTGTGCCTGAAAGTTCTTTAATTAATATGTACTTCTCAGAAGATGCTCCACAACGGTGGAGTGCAACCTGCCGCTAGGATAATTTCATTGCAGCATTCATCTAAAGGAACATTGGTCTGTAATTATTCAGACATTTGTAAAACATTTCCATTGCACTGATGGCTTCTTGGATAGGTGCTGCCTTAGATGTGGATATTTCTTTCTCTTTTAAAAGGATTCTAGTTATTTCTGTAGTTATAAGGTGTAATTATTAATATTGAATACTTTCATTCGGTAGTGCCCGGCAGCTATGTGGTTTGGGGAGCTGCTGTCCAGAAGCTGTACAAATAGGTAGTAAATAACTGCACTCACCCTAAGGCTAAAAGATGAGACATGGGGCACACTGGAGCAGAACAGGAGACAGAGAAGCAAAAAGAACAGGCTAAGAACTCCTCACAGCTGCTGACCATCTGCCCGCAGGCAAGCATGCATGACGATGCAAGTGGCACAGGTTCATCGTATCTTCTGCCAAATGACAAGCCTGCCACTTCATATTCCACCCTTAGGACATGAGTTATGTCAGTCTCTAAAAAGGAAGAGGTGGCTACTTCACAGTGAAAAGAGGTAGCCATCCTGCTCGTGTGGTCTGTATCTCTTACCCTCTGGCGCCTCATCTTCACCCCACACATTTATTGTAGGTACCATCCCCTGAGTACCTGGGTGTCTCACATCCTCCTGACACCAGGAAGTGCTATTACCTTTGGTTTGCAGATATGGAACAAGGACACAGAGACTAAGTGAATCACCCAAGGGCACCCAGAAAGCCTGTGAATCCAAGTCTCCCCACCTTTGTGCCTCCCCCACTAACAAGACATGCTGATTTGCAATCCTAGCTCTCTGCTGTCTGCCCCACAGAAGCATGTCACTCATTAACAGCTAGGTACCTATTTCATGGCTGATACATAGCAAAATTTGGGGGTATACTCAGCTTCCAGAGGCTGGGAGAAGGAGCTTGTGAACCTGTTTCCCTGTGGTTATACAGGAGTATAGTATTTAGCCTTTCTGAGAGGAAATAAAACAAAGCAATCATTCAGGATCCTAAAGTCCTTCCTGACAGTAAGGCATTGACCCCAGCGTCCTGGGTAGATTTCCATTCAGCAAACAGCACTTTGCCAGCCTGCAGTGGCCATGCATCTTGGCCAAGCACTGTAGCTCACCTTATGTCTGCACCTGCCTGAGGTCTCCTGTCATCCCAGCCAGGAAAGTGATTATGTTAAATTTTAAGTGGATGCTAGAAGTGTCAGATGTAGGCCTGCCCTTCAGAGCTGAGAAAACAACAGGGTTTGAACATCTAGGCTAGAGGTAGGAACAAGCTGATTGCAGAGGTGATTCAGGCACTGGCAGGCACGGGACGGGTGGGAGCAGAAAAAGGTTGAGATCAGGAACCCTTGAAAGCCAGCTGGACTGGGTCACTGCCACAAGGTCCTCCTTGTTCCTCTAGCTGGGATCACGTGACAGCAGATCTAAGGGTTTCTTGGCTCCAAAGGAGGAAAAGACAGAGGCTTCCCCTGCTCCCATCCCCAGTACTGCTGGAGGTGCCTCCAGCCACACCAGCCGTTGGGCATCTCCTAAGGCATGTGCTTGCTCTTTCCATGCCTCAGTTCCCCCCTCCTGACAACCAACGGTTTGCACAGGAGCCTACAGGACTGTGCCTAACTCCCTGAAGCTCCTGTTGAAAACCACAGCCAGTGATACGGTCCTTTGGAGACTGCTTTGGGATTTGAAGATAACAAACCAACTGTGTAAAAGCCAAGTGTAATTACGAAGGAGTGGGCAGGCTCGGTATGAGAGCTAGGCAGAAACCAGGATATTGCAGCTATTGCCAAGCCAAAACAGAGGGAGGCTGCAAAGAGAAAATGTCAGTGCGTCATGTGGCCCAAGTGGGAAACTGGAGGGCATAAATCACTGCCCTGTGGGTAAGAAGCCATTGATCAATTATTTTCTGTGGTCGCTCAGTGCAGTTTATTACTGGAAGCCAAGGTGAATTTGTGCGTTCCAGGCGAGTGCCTGAATTCCAGCACAGACAGCAGAGAGCAAGAGCAGAGCAAGGACTGTGGGCAGGTGTCTACAGCAAGCAGGTAACCAAAAGCAGAGGTGGAGATCGAGCTCTCCTTCCAAATCAGGCAGCATGACAAATGGGAGATACAAGCTGGCCATTCGCACCCCCGAGGTGATGGCAATGGGGATGCGGACTGAAAGCAGGAGCTGACCCTGCCATAGACTGAGGCAGCTTGCACTGAATGTTAGCTAGTGGAGGTGAAGGCAGATGGGGTAGGCAAACAAGAAGCTTAGAATAGGAAAGGTGACATCAGGAGGCGCTACTTCACGGTCAGGGCGGCTAGGGTCTGGAAC